GATCCAGTTTTCAGTTTGTGTGAAGTTCAAAGAAGCGTATTTACACTTTGTGATCAGTTTATTCAAGGTTTCACATGTTTGTTACTTATTTTCTAAATAAATTTTTATCTGACGTTTCTTCAAATTCATTTTTGCTTTTTACCACAATTTTATAAGATAAAGCAGCAATGCCTTTGACCAAAAAAGAAGACGAGGTAAAAGCCAATAATGTAAAGGTTTCATCTCAGCAGACATTTCTAGTCTATTCTTTCGACCACCGTATCTCTCAGAAGCATGAATCAAGGTGCAATAAAATTACTCACTTTGACGGCATACAAGATGACTAAAATATCTACCTGAATCTTATGACCAAAGTTGAGATTCTCGTAGGCTAATTTTATCCGTAACGCCCACTCCTACTGGTTATAATTAGACCTCAAACGGTCGCTTTTATCTTGACCAACTCCATAATAATATTATTTACTCAAATACTATTATTATTAACAACACTTAGAGAATAGCGACATTTAAGAAAAGAAAAGGAAAAGAAAAGAAAAGACAATGTTTGACAAGGTTCAACAATATTTCGACAATATGTCTCTCTTCTTTAAGTTATCTTAAAATATTGTATGTTATTGTCAGTTATTTGAAAAATAATTAAACATAACTTGAAGATCAGACATACTGTAGAAATATGACGTTATTCTCTAAGTATTGTTAATAATAATAATAATAATAATATTATTCGAGCAAGAAATTTTATTATGGTTTTGGTCAAGTGACCGTTTGAGATATAAATTAACAGAGTTATATCACTGATTCTGCTTAATAATAATAATAATAATAATAATAATAATAATAATAATTCCTTTGATTTCTTTTGTATACACATTTTTTGCCGGGTCCCAACCAGAGAGCTAAGGTCAGAAATAGCTTCATAACGTTTTCCATCGGTCATTTTTACAAAAAATATATATAAAAAAAGATTGTACACATTTTACATATATAAAGCTCTTTGTAATGTGTGAGCTGTACTTGTGAGTACAATATTTTTTTGTATTTTTTAAGGCATGGACTACCAATATTCCCTTCAATGAGTCTATCGGGAACTTGGCTAATCAATCCGAGGGCTCCAACTACAACAGAGCCACATTTTTGAGATTTCGATTTCATTATTATTATTATTATTATTATTGTTATTAATATTATTATTATTATTATTATTATTTCCTTTGAGTTCTTTTGTGTACATATTTTTACCGGGTCCCAACCAGAGACCTAAACTTCACAATAGCTTCCATTGACCATTTCTATAAAATAAATAAATAAATAAAAAGATCACACCTATTTTACTTAGATAAAGCTCTTCGTAATGTGTAAGCTGTACTTGTGAGTACATATTTTTTGGCTATTTCTTTAAGTCATAGGTTACCAGGAATCCCTTCAATGCGTCTATCGGGGCCTTTTCCAATCAATCCGAAGACTCCAACTACAACTGGAATTTTTTATGCCCTTATATTATTATTATTATTATTAGTAGTAGTAGTAGTATTAGTATATTTTCTTTTCTGTTTATTACAAAAGCTTACCAGTTATTACTGAAGAGCTAAGTGAGTAAGAGAAGGTAGTAAATATACATTTTGATTGCGCAAAGTTAAGTAATACTTAAAATGTCTGTTATTTATACATTCGTTAGATTGTTAATGCCCTTCTGGGTAGATGAGCAATTCCACACAGAGCCAGATTTTTTTATCTTATAAAGTGGGACTACCAAAAATCTTGTTAATGTACTTGCCTCTCCATTTTTTATATCATATCCAGGGATCCAATTATTATATGAGTAAGAATAGGTTTAAGATACCATATTTGTTCATATTGAATTTCAAAATCCTTATTATGATATAACACTTCATAATTAGAATTTAATTTGATGGCAATGCCATATCTATAAGAAGGCATTTTTATTGTAGTTTTTGATGACAATGTCTGTCAAAATATTAAAGTTCCAAACATAGGTGACGTCATGATTGTCTAGAAATGTTTCAGAAGGTTAGCTGGACCCATAGAAATTCTTCGGTTGAAAGGTCGATACTTAACATATTGTCTTTACATTTTAAGAAGGAGAAATTGCAAGCATTCATTAAATAACAATATCTTTATATATCGCATAGCGTGTGATAATATTTTTTTCAAATAGATTGGCATGACGTCTTTTTCCTTGTGAAGGTTAACCCATAGAAATTCGTCGCTTTTGCTCGTTTTATTACCGACACTAATAATTTCAGGCTGCCATATTTCATGTAATTTTACCATTGCACTGAAGCAGACGTGTTTTCGCTTCTTCTAACTTTATGGGTAGGGGAAGGAAAGTTAAATTTTTGGGCAAGGAAAAGGCAAGTTAAATTTGCGGACAGGGGACAGGCAAGTTAAATTTGAGTACAGGGGACAGGCAATTTAAATTTGTAGACAGGGGACAGGCAAGTTAAATTTGTGGACAGGGGACAGGCAAGTTAAATTTGAGTACAGGGGACAGGCAAGTAAGATTTGCGGACAGGGGACAGGCAAGTTAAATTTGAGTACTGGGGACAGGCAAGTTAAATTTGTGGACAGGAGACAGGCAAGTTAAATTTGAGTACAGGGGACAGGCAAGTTAAATTTGTGGACAGGGGACAGGCAAGTTAAATTTGAGTACAGGGGACAGGCAAGTTAAATTTGTGGACAGGCAAGTTAAATTTGAGTACAGGGGACAGGCAAGTTAAATTTGCGGACAGGGCACAGGCAAGTTAAATTTGAGTTCAGGGGACAGGCAAGTTAAATTTGTGGACAGGGGACAGGCAAGTTAAATTTGAGTACAGGGGACAGGCAAGTTAAATTTGTGGACAGGGAACAGGCAAGTTAAATTTGAGTACAGGGGACAGGCAAGTTAAATTTGCGGACAGGGGACAGGCAAGTTAAATTTGAGTACAGGGGACAGACAAGTTAAATTTGAGTACAGGGGACAGGCAAGTTAAATTTGAGTACAGGGGACAGGCAAGTAAAATTTGTGGACAGGGTACAGGTAATTTAAATTTATGAACAGCGAACAGTCAAGCTATGACAGGGTATTTGCGAACTAAGGAAAAAAAGGAACGAGCAGAATTATTATTATTATTATTATTATTATTATTATTACGGTAAAAGAATTGTTGTAAGAATGTATCAGTGAGATTCATTAGTCCATCATACCTAAATAGACCTCAACATACTTTTATTATAATCAAACTGGAAAGTATGGTGAAAAGGGACATAAGTGAGAGGAAATATATGTCATGGGAAAACTATATTTTGTTTGAGGGTCACCAGCAGTAGAACAAATTTTTTGAAAATCATTTTCTGCTGTTTTCCCTTGAAAAGTTTTATGACTGTAATCATATAGGAAATTATGGGATTTTTTTTTGCTTTAAGATAAGCTGTACCACGAGCTTCCTTTTTATATTATTGCGTTCGTTGTCGTCACTGTATTCAAAACTTTAGACCCCAACAATACTCCATAGACCGTATTAACAAAAGACGGGATATCATCGTTTCTACAAGATTGCAGAAAAAAGATATTCAGAGGATCTCATGCCTACGCTTTGGTTTAGCTCTCCGCCACGTGCGGGCTAGCAACTCTAAGGAATCTGGGTGCGGAACATGTGTGGACTCCTTCAAATTTCGATCTTTTGGTCTTATATTCAAAATTTAGACATCCCTGTCATAACAACGCGGTATTCTGAACTATCGCAAGCCATCCTGGCCCAGATTCTGCGTTCTGTAACTTAAACAGTAATGTTTTCTGCCATAATTAGTTGCTTTTGTAATGTTTTGTAATATCATTTTGTTTACACATTTTTGTTGATGTGGCTTTTTTTTCAGGATGTGGACAATTACGACTCTCCAGATTCCTTTAATTATTAATTGTGATTTTCTCTGACTTCAATGGAAAGGTAGAGAAATGGCTGCCTTTTGACTTCCATTTCTTTCTTATTTGCCAATTGGTTATTTGGAATTTGTTATTTAAGACCTATTTAGATTGATTTCTAGTTGCCTTGTCCACAGTTTCTAATTTTCTTTCTTTTAGATTTCTTGCTTCCAAAGGCTTTGTTTATAATTCTATTTGACCCATAGCACAAGAAAGAAGTGACATCTTCACACCTTTCCCAATGGAATTTGTACGAAAATGGCTTTGAAGTCGGCTCGTCGATTCTACTCTCTTCACCGAAACGGGTTACACTACCCAAATATTCAACATTCAAATTTTACATGTAGCCGTCTCTTCTACTTCAATAGCTTCATGTCTCGCACCTCTCGCCCGTGGAACTCCCTCCCCTTTTCCTGTTTCCCTGATAGCTATAATCGCCGACTATTCAAATGTAATGTCAATCGACGTCTCCAGATGCCTTGATCTATCCCCTATCCTTCTCTTCATCCTTTCCTCTGTCACTTCTATTTGGTCTCACTCCAACTCTCTGTAACCCCTTGCGTGCTAATGGCTTCCTGTCTTGCTTGGGGTGAAACGCTTAAAAAAAAAAAAAAAAAAAACTCTTATCACTCTGTATGTGATTTCATTTACTGTATAAAAATTTTATCCTGTCGCTGAAGGTGACTGATCTCTGAACAATAATGTGTTTGAATTTCATAGTTGTGTTGTCATATCCTGCTATGGCAACAGAAAACAACTTTGAATGAAATTAACAATAAGGTTACTCCAATTGATAAGCCTTGAAAAAGATTGCATTGGAAAGGGGAAGTAATATTAGTAATGCAGAGGGCTAAAGGTTAAATACAAATCTTCTTGTATATACACTGCTGTAATAGAGTTACGTCTGATTTGTCCCCTGATTTTTAAAGCAGTCAAATACGGCACTTTTAATAAAAGACAAGAAAAAAAGTAACAGAAGCTATAAAAAAAAAGGCACGTTTGTAAAAAAAAGAAAGAAAAGAAATAAAATAGAAAAAGGAATAAAATAGAAAAAGAGTAGTAAATTTCCGGTAATACGTACTTTTTCTAAGTCGAAGGTGAGCTGGAATTTTTGAAGAAAATCTCCGGCAAATTCCGGATAAGTTCGTAATATTTCCCGTAATTCTGCGATGTCGATTTTGTTGATATCACAATAAGAAAGGGGGCGGACAGTGTAGAGTGACTTTCCTGCCGCACCCTTATCTCGAATATCACCGCCAAAGATATCATGTTTACCTGAAGGACAAAGGAATAGTGTAAACAAGCGGGAAACCGTTGAATGCTGCAGACGACAAACAGTTTGGAGAAGTAATTAAAACGGAAAGAATTTCTTTCACTTATCAGACAAAAAAAAAGAAGAAATGAATGGAGAAATTTTGTTTTTGAACAATGGAGATTTAATCACAAAAAATAATGAGTAAATTCTAATTCGATGACAAGAGAAAGAACACTAAGCACTTATTTAAATAAACACATATATATATATATATATATATATATATATATATATATATATATATATATATATATATATGTGTTATATATATATGTATATATGTAAATATGTGTATATATGTGCTATATATATATATATATATATATATATATATATATGTGTTATATATATGTGTATATATATATATATATGTTATATATATATATATATATATATATATATATATATATATATATGCATTAATGCATGTTTCATTAAATAATATAGACAAGTTTTGTCTATTCATTTTAAGTAAGTTTCTTTCATATTGTCTGATAAACTTAATCACATTATCGTTGAAAGACGAAAGGAAAACACCATATTGATACATGTTTAAATCCAATGTAAGCTTCTGGCTTACACAAGCCATTATCAAACATGACAATTTCAATAAATCATGCAACAACGGACGAAACAACAACGATAGTCCACCCTTGCGGCATGAAAATTTCAAGTAACGACAAATTCGTGTATACGAGACGCGGAAGCGAAAATCGCGTCGCAGCTCGTGACGTCACACATGACCACAAGAGTGAAAAACGAGAAGTTTTAAGTATGGGAAGCCGATGGCATAAACCAATGGCTTCCGTTATAAATTATAGGCATTTAAGGATATTTGTGGAGATTTCATTGTTTAATTTGTTCAGGTTAGGTTTCAACTGTTTTATGTATAAAGCTTCAAGAATTTTTAATTTTTGTTTATTGTTTTCATATTTAAGTATAGTCGTGTTTTCAACGAAGATTTTCCGGAATTGAGTACGCATTAATGAAAAATTGTTGCCTAAATATACACAATACATATATATATATATATATATATATATATATATATATATATATATATATATATATATAAATTTTGTGTTATATATATAAGGTTTTATTTAAATTTGTGTTATATATACAAAGTTTTGAATATGAAAATTTCTCCGATTTAACGAGTAGAGAAGACAATATTTATGAATAAAAATGACAATAGGAAAACTAGTAATTGCTGACGCGTTTCGTCCAATGTGGACTTTATCAAAGCAAAATACGAAAATGAAATTAAATGAACAAAGTAACTAATAAAAACAAAAACAGAATGTACCTAGCAACTGGAATGTAGAGAAACGCTATTTTCATATTTTTAACTGAAAATAACGTCAGTATTTGCCACGTGTGGAGAATATTATCATTTTATCTGTGTTGATGTATTCAACCATTTTCTTTTGATTTTATGAATCTGTTGTGTACATTTGTTTGTGAGAGCAGTAATTTTGTTAAGAAAGATGAAATGGGGAAAAAACCTGGGCGTAGATTAATATTTGGGTACTGTTCTATGGCGGCACTCTCTAGAATTTTCCTTCTGAGTGAGTTATTTTCTTTTTTTATGAGTGTAGAATTTTAAAAATCAAATAACAATATATATATATATATATATATATATATATATATATATATATATATATATATATATAACGTGATGGTGTCTCCATGGGTTCACTACTGGGTCCGACATTTAGCAATTTCTACATATTTCAACTTCAAAAAACGTTTCCAAAATAATTCTGTCCTTAAATTCACATATGAACTCAATACTAATAAAAAAATCCCCTTCCTTGACATATTGATAAACACAAATAATAACAAATTTACTATATCGCCATACAAAAAACCTACAATCTAAGAAATTCATGTACACTTAACAACAAGAGCGAATGCCCATATTACAACAAAATAGCAATTATAAAGAATCTAATACATTGTGCAGAAACTAATTCATCCACAAAACAGATTTTTTACAGTGAACTAAAGAATATAAAACAAACACTTAATAATAGCTTTCCAAACTATATAGTTGATGAACAAATAAGATGCTTTCTTAGAAATCTCAATACTAAGCAAATAGTACATAATACTGCTTCTACTAATCTCAAACATATTAATCTCCTATATCGTAATCAAATGCATACTAATTATAAACAAGATGAAAATATACTAAAACATTTAGTAAATACTAATATATCAACAACAGATCCTAGCAAAAAAATTAAATTAATAATATACTACACTAAATCTAGTATATCCGACTTAATTCTTCGCAATGATTCTTCTCCCCCGGTTAGCGATTTGAAAAAACCAACATAGTTTATAAATTCAAGTGCTCTTTGGGAGATTGTATCTCTAACGAATTAAATAATGTTTATGTTGGTCACACCACAAACTCGCTTTCACGACGCTTGACACTACATTGGAATGAAAATTCTAACATTTTTAGGCATTTAAAACAACATGCCTGCCCGCACATACAATTCCGTAAAATACTTGTAGAAAACACAATTATACTTCGACATGAAAACAATAGACAAAAACTAAAAATTCTTGAAGCATTATACATCAAACAGTTGAAACCCAACCTAAACAAAATCAATTATGGAATCTTTAAAAATATCCTTAAATGTCTATAATTGGTAAAAGAAACCATTGGTATATACCAATGGCTTCCTATTCTTCATACTTCTCCAATTCACTCTTGCGTGGTCATGTGCGACGTCATGAGATGCGGTGCGATTTTCGCTTCTAGCGTCTCATATGCACGTGTTTATCGTTGTTTAGAAATTATCTATGTAAACAATCACAGACTATCATCACTGTCTTGCCCGTATATTGCTTAATATGTTGTAATTGACATCTTTGATAATGGCTTATGTAAGCCGAAAGCTTAGATTGTATTAAAAAATATGGAACAATATTGTGAATTTCTTTTTTCGTTCAACGATAATGTTATAACTTATTAGACGTTATGAAAAGAATTTACATAAAATAAATAGACAACACTCGTCAATATTATTTAATGAAACGTGTATGAATGAAAAGATGATGCTTAAATACACACACATATATATATATATATATATATATATATATATATATATATATATATATATATGCATAAAATTGTGTTATATATATAAGGTTTTTATCTAAGTTTATGATATATATAAGGTTTTATTTAAATTTGGGTCATATATATATATATATTCTTTCGATAACCTTTACGTGTATAGCATTTTACGTCTGGATCACATTGTAAGTGTGCGCATATATATATATATAAGTAAAGACTGTTTACGAATGCCTACACACACACACACACACACACACATATATATATATATTTATATATATATATATATGTATATATGTGTAAATATGTATATATATATGTATGGAGGTGTTTATGTATGTATGTGTATATGTATATGTGTGTGTGTATATATATATATATATATATATATACACACACACACATATACATATACACAATGATATATATATATATGTATATACACACATATATATATATATACATATACACATACACATACATACACATACACACACATACATATATATATATGTGTGTGTATGTGTGTGTATGTTTATGTATGTGTATGTGTGTGTATATGTACATATATATATGTGTATATGTATATATATATATATATATATATATGTATGTATGTGTATGTATGTGTATGTGTGTATATATGTATATGTGTGTGTACTTAGCTGTGTGTGTATATATATGTACATATGTAGGGGTGTGTATATAGGTATATGTATGTGTCTGTATGGATGTACATGTAGAATCTCCGACTGACACCAATTCAGCCGCGTTTCGATCCTAGCTAGAGACAACTGGGCGTCTAGCCACACTGAAGATCTGTGATACAGCGACACAGTCTGTCTGTGGATGACAATATATATATATATATATATATATATATATATGTGTGTGTGTGTGTGTGTGTGTGTGTGTGTGACTGTGTGTATATATTGTATTTATTTTGGTAAAGTGATATAGGTTAAACTTTTAAGATATATTTATATGGTAAATGCTTTTAAAGAACATATGAATTACAAGGTAACGTATAATGACAATCAGAATGAGACATGAAATGAGAAAAGAGGCTCTGGTAAATCTAATACTCACAGAGAATATTGAAACCAGGGGAAGCCAGGTGAATCTGCGAGTAATCTACTTAAGCTGTTTGTATGAATGGACGGTAGAAAAAGATCAAAGAAGGATGGTGAAGGGGCAAAAGTTACTTAGAACACCAAATGAAGTTGTGGAGAGCCATGATCGATTACTTACTGAGTTTGTGGGAATGAATGGCAGAACAATAGCAAAGAAGGATTGTAAAAGGGCAAAAGTTGTGGGGAGCCATGATCGCCTATGTCCCGATGTCACATAGCACATGAAAGAAGTCATATACCTGATGAATTCAGCTTTCATATCCGCTTGTAATCGAAATATTTGCAGTAAGAGCATAAAAATAAAAGGATAATCAACAAGAAAATGATCCTTAGGAAAATATTCGAAAAATTTGGTTTAGCACATTTAAGGAGAGAGATAAGAAGAAAAAAGATATGAAAAACCCTGACTTAATCATGAAACAACCAACCTTTAAGATAAACATCAGATGAGCGAAGTAGGACATGAAAACCGATTTCACACCAGTAATTAGTAGAGATAAATGTAGAACTACATTGGATGGACACGAGGACTTGTTTTGCAATTGGCTCATTAAGAGAGATACGGCTAGCTTTTATTGTGGTTAGCATAATTATAGGCGCCTTTAAATTTAATCATTGTATGCAGATAAATGAAGAGAATTATTGTAAATTCTTGGATAGCACATTTTTAAGGGGTATGGGTAACAACGATGGTAGCAGCCAAATTTTCCCCTTTAAA